AGCTCTTTAAGAAGGCAAAAGCATTGATTGAAAAGTTGTGCGTAAACCTAAATTATTCAGAATTTAGCAAGCAGTCATTAGTACTGAAGATAGATTTGAGACAGCTTGGTATATTACAAATGAAAATCTGGGGAAGGTGAAGAATGTGACAAAGCATTAATGATATATCATAGGACTCATGAACTAACTAAATTCAATTATATCATAAATAAACACACATTTATGTACATATATGATCTGTATACAATACCTACTCTAGGTTTAGAAGGGTTAGTAACTGGACCTATGATTTCATTGCATTAAGGAACTCTCTCTATTAATGCAGGTCAGGACATATCAACCTTTAGATAGCTGCCTAATAAATTTACTAGGTTTGTATCCCAAAGAAATCAAAGAAAAAGGAAAGAGACCTATTTGTACAAAAATATTGACAGCAGCTCTTTTTGTGGTGGCAAAGAATTGGAAATTGAGGAGATGCCCATCAAGGGGAAAATGACTGATATAGAATTATGATGGAATATTATTGTGCTATAACAAATTACGAGCGGGATGTTTTCAGAAAAACCTGAAAAGGCTTACATGAATGGATGCAATGTGAAGTGAGCAGAACCAAGAACACTGTACATAGTAACAGCAATATTGTATGATCAATTGTGAATGACAGCTATTCTCAGCAATACAATGATGCGAAACAATTCCAAAGGACTAATGATGAACAATGCTATCCACTTCCAGAGAAAGAACTGCTGGAATCTGAATGCAGATGAAAGCATACTTTTAAAAACTTTCTTTATTTTTTCTTGTTTTGGGCAGTTTCTGGGTTTTTCTGGTGTGTATTTTCTTTTGTAACATGGCTAACATGGAAGTATACTATGCATGACAGTACGTGTATAATTTACAGCAAATTGTTTTCTTTCTTAAGGAAAGAGGAGGGAAGTGAAGGAGAAAGAGAATTTAGAACTAAACAATTTTTAAGCTGAATGTTAAAAATTATTTTTACATGTAATTGGAAAAATATATGTATGTATATGTGTATGTACGTGTGTACCCATATAGAGACAGACATACAGACAGCCAGAAAGCTGCCTAGAACACTGAGGTTAGAATAAATGTCTCTCTGACCAATGGAGGCAATACTAAAACCTGCATCTTCCTGTCTTCAAGGCCATATCCTGAAACATTATGCCATGCCACCCAGCAAGTTTAGTAGGGAATATTTATTCTCTATATTTAAATATTTTTCTTTCTCCTTTTGAATACTTAAGTTTTCTTTAAACATGTGTTAATTGATTAAACATGAGAAACAGCTTTTATATTACTTATTCTTGTGACAAGTTCTGAACCAAGACGCTATGCACTCCATTATCTTCTTCAAAGTACTTGCAAATAGCACATTTCTGAATAATTCATAAATTATATATTTCCATTCAAAGATCTCTTGATGCTTTATAAACATGATTCATTCCTTATGACTCATTCTCTTATTATGAAGACCCTCCAATAAGGGAACTGAGGTTGTTTCAGCTATGAGTTGCTTAATACCAGAGGTATAGCTGAGAAAAGAAAGCAACCTGAATGGTTTCCAGGTGAATGCTCTACTGATTACACCTGGGAAGCAGCCTGGTTTAGATCTGGAGTATGGTATAGCTAGGTAGCTCAGTGGATAAAATGCTGGACCTGGAGTCAGGAAGAACTGACTTCAAAATCTGGTCACAGACACTTACCAGCTATGTGATCCTGGGCAACTCACTTAACCTCACTTACCTCAGTTTCCTCATCTGTAAAATGAGCTGGAGAAGAAAATGGCAAACCACTCCAGTATCTTTGCCAAGCAAACCCTAAATGGGGTCATAGAGAGTAGGACATGACTAAAGAACAACAATAAATCTGGAGTAAGGAAGAACTAGGTTCAAATCTTGTTTGATGTTTACTAGCTTTTTTTTTTAATGTCTTTTAATGTCTCTTGGCCTCAGTTTCTTCATCAGTAAAACAGGGATAATAAAATCTGTAGCACCTACTGCACAGGGTTGTTTCAAAGAACAAATGAGATATATATGTAAACCACTGTGCAACCTTTAAATTTCTATACAAATATTGACTATAATTATTATTACCATATTGCTTCTCAATTTAAATGTGATTAACTAGTGACCTGTAAAGGGAAAAAGCTATTTTCACTGATCAGATATTATTAGTCTATAATAAGTAATGTTTGGCCAAACTATGACCCAAAATCTAAATCACCCATTAATTCAGATTTAAACTTAGAAAACTAAAAATAACAAAAGTTGGGGTTTTTTTTTTAGCCTGATCATACACCTCTTTTCTGGTGTGTGGTATAATTTCATTAATATCAATTCTACTAATTTAAAATTTATTAAACTACAGACAGGGACTGAATTAGAGTTATTCTTTTTGCCTAGCAAAACATTTCTTCATCAATACTGCAAATTAACAAATTAATTAAGGTTTCAGAAGAGTGGTTTGGATTTCTAGCATTATGAAATGTACTCATTTATATGATAATTACAAACCATTCTTATTTATTCATTAAAACAAAGTAGAAAGCCTATAAGAGTTGACTTTCCTGTTTTGAGTTATAGCACATAATTGAATGTAACAATATTACTTTTATTTATAAATGCTATGTAAATCATACTGTTCTTCCTTCTAGTCTGTCTGGATTGAAGTTTAAATGAACTTCCATGGGATGGCTTCTTAGTTAAAAAACACACAAATCAGGCAGACTTTTAGAAAAATTCCCAAATAAGAGCCAACAGAACTGAGAAGTTAGAGCATTTAATTTTCTGTCTGTTACAGCCCTCATTATTTTGCCACTAAGCAAGCATGAGGATAGCAAAATATTTACTCTGCATATAACCAGAGTGTCTTAAAGACCCATCAATTACTGTAAAAGGGCTGGAACAAGGGAAACACAGAGAGAGGGATAGAGGTCATGGGAGAATATGGTCGCAGTCCTTAAGTGTTTTAGCAAAATGGAGGAGGTCAATAGCATGTAGGATGATTCTCCACCCCAAATCATCTTCAAACTCAAATCTGTTGATATAACCAAAACTCTACAGTAACTTAATCTAAACCATTTAGTGGGAACTACTAGAAGAACAAAATACTATTATCAATATGACAATTTAATAATAAAAAGTTTATATCCTCCCATTGTCCCAAGTCAAACAGATCACTTCTATGTAATAAGCTAATTAATTCCTGGTTCCATTCCTCACCCTATAGTTCTTGCCTACATCCCCAACTTAGAGCTGGACTAAATTCTCTACAGAAATTTAACCCTCCCTCATTCCAAAGCATTCTGTGCAATGGGGCCTTTCCCACAGTGATCTACATCTTGGCTAAAAGGGTCCTTCGGAAAAATAACTTTTCTCAGTCTTGATTTCCACAAATACATAAGGAATAGACTAGTAGAGCCAACTGGGCTTAATCCAAAAGCCTGCATTGGTTGGCCGCTTCAAGCTTTCGCCAAGTCAATTCTTTTGAAAGAGTTGTCATCAAGGGGCAAAACTAAGAAATTGGGATTTGCCCTTTCTGTTTTTTCTTCTTTACTCTTTGGCAATGAAAGAGTCTAAGGGTGAGTAGTTGGAGGGGGATGAAATCAGGCGAGCAAAATGTCCAGGACTAGGAAGGTGACAGTTCTAATGGACTCTGCCCTGGTCAGACCACATTTGGAAGACTATGTTCACTTCTGAATGTCATTGCATTTTTGGAGGGACATTGATAAGCTACAGAGCATCCAGAGGAAGGCCACCAGGTTGGTGAAGAGCCATGAGGTCATGCCATACAAGAAGCAATAGGGTACAGTGAAAGAGAACAGTGGCTTTGGAGTCAGAGGGACTGAGTTCAAATATTACTTCTGTTACACACTGTGCAACCTTGGGCAAGTCACCCTCTCTAAACCTCAGTTTCTTCATCTGTAATATGAGAGGGTTAGACTAGATGGATGCCCTGAAGGTTTCTTCAAGCTCCAAATCTATGATCTAATATCAGGATCAGTTGAAGGAACCTTTTTCAGATGGTTAACCTAGAAAATAGAAGCCTTAGAAGCTGGGAAGAGAAATGTTTTCAAGTATTTAAAGAGCTGTCATGTGTGCAGCTAAGTGGCTCTGCGGATAGAGTGTCAGGCCTGGAGTCAGGAACTCATTTTCCTGAGTCGAAATCCAGCCTCAGACACTTACCAGCTGTATGACTTTGGGCAAGTCACTTAACTTCAGCTCAATCTAACTCAACTGTAAAATGAACTGGAGAAGGAAATGGCAAACCACTCCATTATCTTTGCTAAGAAAACCCCAAATAGGGTTACAAGTCTGACATGACTGAAAAAACTGGACAACAATGACATGCGGAAGAGGATTTGACTTGTTTGGTCTCAGAGGGAAAAATGGGGAGCAATGGGAGGAAATTAGAAAGGCATAGATTTTACAAGGTAAGGAAAAATGTCTAACAATCAGACCTCTCCCAAAGTGGAACGGGAGGCCTAAGGAGGTAGTAAGTTCCCCCATACTGGAGGTCTTGAAGCGAAGGCTCAATGGACACTTGGGTTTGCTTGAGTGTGGTTGGACGTCATGGCCCCTAACATCCCTTCCAATTCAGATTCTGTGATTTTGATGACTAGACAAGAAAACCTGAATGGTGAATATTCCTAAAAAGTGGTTAAAAACAAAACAAAACAAAAAACTTTTGAAGCATCAAAACAGAATATGGTAGAACAGAATACTATTATGATGGAATGATTAAAGGTTAAGGACAGCATTAAATTTCATTTTGGCAGCAATATATGGTGTCTTGCATCCTCACCAAAAGTTCTGGACATTGATAGCCCTAAATTTTTAAAAGACCAGTCTTTAATCTGCAAGAGCCAGAAATGATGAAAATCAGCATCTATCCCTTCTACAAATTCAACTGCTTCCCAAATGCAAACATTTTGCAAAGCACTAACAACAGCTAAAGAGAATGGAATTTCATTGGCTCACCTATTAATATTCCACAGAAACCAAGAAGTCTGTGTGAATGACTTCAGGAAAAAAAATGACACCTGGAGAAACAAATTAAACAAAACATAAAGAATTTGTCTCAGATCCCCAAACACTAACCACACAATGATTACATCTAGTTCCAGCATCAAGAGTTACAAACTTTGGTTCTTGGGCTCCTCAGGGTTGTGCCTTCATCAGCATAGAACTTGTCCTACATTGAAACACCGGCCTACTTCCGTAAAGCGCCAAACCACTGATGGACTGGGAATAATAAAATAGGGCAAGGAAGAATGTGTAACCCATTAAACATGCACCAAATTACATACTTCCTCTTCTCCTCCAAAACTAACTCCAAAATATAATTTTTGCCCTCGAGATCACTTTGTGAACAGATGGAAAAGATTCAAATGGATGAAAAAATAATAAAGAATTAAATTGTGAATGACATAAAGCAAGAAAGCATTTATTAAACACTTACTGTGTGCCAGATATGAAAACAATACTCATGACAACCATCTTTTGTTATCCTTTTCATTTAACTTTGCTAATTTTTTCAAATGCTAAATCTTCTCAAAGAGAGCATCTTAAGCCCTGACTCATAAAAGCCAGAGGCAAAGGATTCTAAAATGCTGAAAGGGTAAGAGTAAAAGCTCAAAAATGCTGATTCATGTAAAAATGATGTCATAAACAAAGGTCCTAGTTATTCTTTAGTGAATTTCGATAACCTTCAGAAAACTGTACACTCAATTCATTTCCTCACAAGAAGGAAAAATCACAATTACAAAAAATACTAAATATAAAGCTGAATATTTGCAGGACAAACAACACATTTTTATTTAAATGAGAAAGGGGATAGTGTCAGCACTGCTTGCAATGAAATTCCATCAACCCATTCCATCAACCCAGCTCTTTTGTTTGCTAAGTAGTCAAAGAGAGAGCACTGGATTTCAATCAAGAGGATTTGGGTTCAAATCCTGGTTCTGCCACTTAAAAGCTCACAGCTTCTTATTTAAGGATATCAGGTCTCATTTGCAAAATGAGAAGATTCTCCTTCTCCTAAAGGTAGCTGTTAGCTCATAATATATGATCCTATGCATCTAAGTTTCTTAAGCCCAAACCAGGTTAAAATGAAACAAATCAGTTTTTTGCATGCAAAAAAGTGTATTTTTTCATTTTAAGATTATTTCTGATTGAATCAACACTATGTTGGTTTGATCAGTTACATATCAGACATATTAGGATCTGTCTTAGTCTTGTTGGCTACATATCAAATATTAAGATTTGTGAAACAAGAAATATCTGAGTTATAATGGAATGAAGAAATTCTGTTACCTCCTAGAGTGAAGACTAAAAGATCAACAGCTAAAAAATGTTTAACAGCCTTGGTTTTATATTGTAGATCATTACAGTACAGGAGGAGAATCCTCAACTCACCCACCCCATTTTTTTTTTTAGAGCATACTTTTAAATATGCCTTGGGACTTATAAGTGAAAGACCATTTAATACCAATTAACTAACGTTAGCACTCAAAAACTGTTCTTTATTTTGGTGTGTGCAGCACGAGTGTTAATCAGAAATGCCCAGAGTAGAAATATTGGCATTTAGTTCAATGACTCCACAATCTTCTGAAATCAATTTAATTAGGTGCCAAACTAAAAGCTACTGAACAAGTCATCAGGGTTCCCTTCAGAAAAAATAAGAGCTCCAAAGGAGGTATTAAATTACAGAATTAATTCTCTGTATTATGTTAGTTAATTTCAAGGAAGTTAATCTTCTAAAAAAAAAAAACCAGTTCTTTCAGAGCTAATTATTGGATAAAGCTCAGCATTGACTCCTATTAAACTGTAAGCTTCTTGAGTGCAGGGCCTGTGCCAATCTATCTTTATATATCTCTAGCACCTCACTCAATAGCCTGTAAAAAGGAGTGGTCTAATAAATACCAATTGAGTTGAAATTGTCCATACTTTTGTTTTTCCTGTTAATGGGAAATTATTATCTGAAAAATACCATTGAAACAAGCTTTGTAAGAGAGAGTTCTCTAACTTTTTGGTTCCTATTTCCTGATCTCAGAAAACCAAATGGGTCACAAAATCATTTGAAATTCTGAAGTGTTAAAAATTGAAGATAACATTTTTGCAGTCTTAAAAATAACACACACACACACACACACACACACACAGGGCTCATGAATGACGAAACAAATACCATACTCATTATAGCACTGGGGTTGTATTCACCACCACCTCCAGCTCTCACCACTATTTGTTCTAAACTTTCACTGGCTCTCATTCCTAAAATAAAGCATGACTGTACCTGAAGCCCAGAGAATGACAACATTCAGGAACAGGGTCACACTATAATGCCTGGGTGTTCTGATGATGAAAATATCAATTCAATTCAACAAGCATTTATTAAACACTTACAATGTGCCAGAGAGCAGAATGCCCATGATCCACCAACATCCTTTTCCATAAGATTTCCTAAATAAGCTTACATTCTAAAAGCAATGCTTCCCTTGGTTGCCCCATCTCTGTTTAACAGAGGTCAAGAGTTTGGTATCCTTATTATGGCAATTGCTTCACACAGGTAAAATTGTTATAATTGGTGTCAATATCTTCTACTCTACCATTTATCGTTGTTTGATGTCAGTAAGTTGTTTAAATGAATCAAACTGGAATTCTTTTAATTGCATGCCATCTTTTTCTCATTTTTGTTCTTTTATGTTTGTATTAATTTGGTGGTTGTTGTTCAGTCATTTCAGTTGTGTCAGACTCTTTGTGACCTCATTTAGGGTTTTCTTGACAAAGACAGTGAAGTAGTTGCCATTTCCTTCTCCAGTTTATTTTTACAGATGAGGAAACTGAGGCAAATAGGGTTAAGTGACTTGTCCAGGGTCACACAGTTAGTAAGTGTCTGAGACCAGATTTGGATTCAGGTAGGTCTTCCTGATTCCAAGCCCAGGACTCTATCCAATGTGCCATCTATTTGCCCTATTAATTTGGACCACTGCTCTAACAAGTGGTAGTTTGATAATGAAATGATTCCTATATCAATAACAAGTTACTTTCTGAATGTGAAAATATAATAAATTTCATTATTTGGTGATATTATTTTGTACTCACCATATCTAGGGCCTTCCAATTATTTCATTGAAGAAAATGTTAAATGCATAGAAATGTGAAGCTTCTTTGCCATCTACAAGTCTTTGGCCTTGCTAATTCTGAACTCATGAATCATATTTCCCAACTTTATTTTTTTAACCATCCTTACCTAGGGCCATCTTTGGATTAAATTCACTGACTACCAGAGTATATGCTGCTTTAATTGGGAGGGCCATATGCTCTTTGCAAAACGTCTCTTACTTCATCCTCTACAGCAAATGTTAGTAAATAAGTTGCAATTACTTTCATAATGATATCATTGTAAATACTTATCAAGAGCAGCTTGGTCATTGGACAAGGGCCTCAAATTTTAAACAGCAAAAACTAAATTAATGTTTTTAGATGGTATAAAGATTATATGATTCTTAACACCCTGTGTCCCATTTTTCACCATGTTCCTATCAGGCTTGTAGAAATGGAAGGGGCCCACAGAGGACTGAGGGCTGTATTATATTTTTCCTTGTTTTGTGGAAAGAACTCATTTGTTATTGTTGTTCAGTTGTTTCAGTCGTGTCCAACCCTGTGACCCCATTTGGGGCTTTATTGGCAAAGATACTGCAGCGGTTTGTCATTTCTTTCTCCAGCCCATTTTTACAAATGAGGAATTTGAGGCAAACAGGATTAAGTGACTTGCCCAAGGTCACACAGCTAATAAGCATCTGAGGCCTGACTGTAAGCCCAATGCTCTATCCACTGAGCCACCTAGCTGTCCCAAAGAATTTATTACCAAATGGTCAATTTATTTGTAATGAGCGTCCCTGTATTATGCTAGCCCGAGCTTTGGAAAACAAAGAGTAGATTATCTGAAAATAATCTACATACACACAGCACATCTTTGATAAAAACAACAGAAAAGAGAAAGCAAGCTTTTACAGCAACGTTCAAAAGCTAAGACTTTACTCACAGCCTTTCTGTCATCGCAGAATCTGCCAGAGCTTGATTTTTACTGGTATAACCTTTGAGAATCCGGGGTCACTTTGCAATGTATATTTGTACATACATATGTATTTATATATGTATGTGTCCATAATTGTAATATCTTTGATATCTGGTTTGGAAACTCCTTCTACTGATATAGAGGGGTAACTAAGTATTCTGGTTTATAAAAAGTTGCCATGCATAAAGATACATATGTGTGTAGAAATGTATGAATGTGCAAACACATACACATGTGTACATGTGCACACATATGAAATCCCTTGAATGTTGATAATTCCTACAAGGATACATATACATGTGTGCGCACATGCATGTGTGTGTGTGTGTGTGTGTGTGTGTGTGTGTGTGTGTGTGTGTGTGCATATTCAAACCTCTGACAATCAGTGTGGAAAACAATTAGGTCACAATCTAGCAGACATCTTAAAATCAAATTAAAATCACTGAGATTTATTTTTAAAAGTTAAATTTTTTTTCTCTTCACTTTCAAGTTAATTTGCTCTACTTACATATTTTTTTTACTTATGTTAACCAAAATTTGTGAGAAAAAATTTATGAAGCACCTATTTGCAAGGCGCTCTGCTATATGAACAAGAAGAGAAAACTAAGGGGAAACATGAGAGCTTTCTTCACATATTTAGTAGAGATTTGTATGATCCTATTTAGTTCCAATTGATTAGTCTCTAACATTTTCTAATTAGCTACTATGTTCCAGGCACTGTGCTGTGGTGACATAGACTCAAAAATGAAAGAGTTTCTATTGTCAAGGTACTCACATTCTCTTGAGGGATTTACTTGTTCTCTATTGCTTTGGACAACTGGACTACAACTAATGGGTGGAATCTGCCAAGATGAAAGCTTTGGCTCAAATAATCCATGGTTTTCTAACATGTAGAGCTATACCATCACGAAATGGACAGTCTCTCAAAGCAGTCAGTTCTATGTTACTGTAAGTATTTAA